GCCGGCGCCGCCGGTTGTGGCGGCGTCGGGCGCAGTGGTGGCGGGGCTTGACCCCTATGGGTGCCGGCGACGAGGGCGGTGTGGGTCGCGTGAGTCCGCGCCATCCGCATCCGGCGCTCCTCCAACTCGAGGTACGCGACCACCTTAGCGAAGGTAGGCTCCGGGATGAGGGTAAGGTTGGAGGCGGCGTTCCCGAAATCCTCGTTGAGGCCGGCAGTGAGGGTGCTCATGAGGAGCTCATCCCTGATCGTCTCCCCGAGATCACGGAGCTCATCTGCAAGCTTCTTGAGGCGCATGCAAAAATCATCAATGGACGAGTCAAGCTGCTGGCACCCGTAAAACTCGCTGTGGAGAAGGACCTTGCGCTACAGCCGGTTGTCGGTGAAGAGGCCGTTGAGCTTGGTCCAGACCGCGTAGGCGTCATCGTCGTCATCCACCACGGTGTGGAAGAGGTCGCTGGAGATGGTGAGATAGAACCAACGGATGATGGTGGCGTCGAGGATCATCCACTCCTTGTCGTTAATCATGAGCGCCGAGTCCACAGTGCCGTCCACCTGGCCGTGTAGGAGGTACTCACGGAACACAAGGGAAAAATACCGCTTTCAAGCGGAGTAGGACGCGGTGCTTTGATCAAGCTTCACCGGGACACGCTCATGAATGTTGAGGTCCCGGACGAGGGTGACATCGGGACCGGCGAACGGGTTTGAGACGGTGGAGGAGGAGGAGCTCATTGCTAGGGTTAGGGTTTGGGACACAACGCGGGTTGGGAGGTGTGGCGACGCGGGTGGGAGTAGGGCTGGGGTGGTGCGGGTTGCGGCGCGGGTGGTGGGGAGAGGCAGCGGCGACCAGCGGCGGCGACGGTGACCGAGAGGACGGTGGTGGCGGCGGCGGCTGATGTCGGCGGCGGTGGCGGCGCGTAGAGGCACAGTGGTGGCGGCGGCTTAGGATTTTACGATCGTGCTGCGATAGATACCATGTAGAAGGACAAGATGTGGGCTGTGCAATCGCGATGTATTGATCGATGCACCAGGTGTATATATAAGTACAGAGGTGGGCCACAACCTCAACTATACAGAGGAATCAGGAGATGGGCCCTACACACAAATATACACGTACACAATATACTCAACAGAGGCAAATGGTCAAGCGGTGTGCCACAGTTGTGCCAGTGTCACGCTTGCTGCGCACACCAACCGAACTTCCACGCTCCGCTACAGATGTGTGCCGCACCGGCAGTCCGGCACCACCAGGCCCTACTGCACGCCGAGCGACCGTGCGACATCGATGTGCTATGACCATCACCCACTTGCATGCTCCCGTCGGCCGCCGTGCCGCAACCTCCATCGCATCAAGCATTTAACGAACCGGGTGTAACGAAGGAGGATATGCGACAGCCAGGTCAGGGGGCATGTACGCGGTTGACGCCTCCTCGGACTACTCTGCATTTTCACGGCCACGATCAAAGGAAAATGGGAAGCAAATCTCAGTATTTGTATTCCCACTGTCTCTCAGAAAGAGAGACCATGGATTAGGCGGCAACACAGACACGTGATCACTTAATGTGTCAGCAACAACAGACAATCAGGAAGGCATGCACGCATGACAAATTCGTAAAGAAAGAACCACCTGCCTTGTCGCCCCCATAGCGCTTCAGCCACGTGTGTACCTCTGCTGCAGGCTGCCGGCCGCGTGCCACATGTGAGCTAGCAGTCGCTCCAAGAAACGGCTCGTGAATGTGGGGCTCGGTTCCCTCTCCTCCAGCTCTCCACCACGCGCGGTCCAGTTACCTGCCGCCGCCCCGATCCACCGAAGCCCTAGCTGCTGCCGCCGGATACATCTGGTCGGAGTACCAGCAGGTCCGCTGGGAACACCAAGGTCAGCCAGCCACATACCCCTCACTTTCTCTTTCCCGCGCACCGTGAGTTTGCATCCCGAGTTGATTAATGGCTTGCTTCGAATCTGCTCATCGTCACGCAGACCCGGTGCCTCTGGCCATGGAGCAAGGGAGTCTGGTAAATGAGCTATTTTACCAAGGCAACGGGCCTCTAGGGCTCGGAGAGCCCAGGATCCTCCTTCGATCTGAGCAAACACATTCCACCTTCTAGATCGAGGTGATTGTGTTGATTCTGCTGCTTTTTCCAAGCCATGGAGTCATGCTCGAGGAAAGAGGTGGGCAACTTAGGAGAACCTAGTTGAAGAAATTTTGACTCTTGCTCCCTGAATAACCGAATCTGTTAACACTTTTTTTCCAAGAGTCAGCTGAACAGGAACGTGTCCCTGTACTTCTACTGAAACTTAACGACACTACTCCTAAAAGAAAGACAGTTATTGTACTGCTGCACAACTCTTACAAATGCAAGAAATGGTTGTATCCACTGCTGCAGGTACAATTACCACTGTTTTGAACCATTCCAGAGTGTGCCCCTAAGCAGCAGGCATCGATATTTAGCATTAGTTATTGTCCTTGAGTCACTTAAACATTGGTTGGCACATGCGTTTGGGGTTATATTTATCATGGTGAAAGCGTCAGCCGCAAGACTAACTTACATATATGTAATCTACTTACTTCCTTTTATGTGCTTCTTATTTCATAAATGTTCAAAAATTGTAGTAGTATTCATACATTTCATTTGACCTGACCATCTCTACATCCACGGTTTAAACACAGGCACTGAACTCATCTTGGAGGAGTGGGAAAACTATACCTTTCATTTTTACACGGTAGATATTACTTCCACTTGTTAAAATTACTTTTTTTATCATCCTTAAATTGTGTTGTTCAATTTGTCCATCAAATATAGTATTTAATAAATGGATAGTTATGTACTCAAAGAATATCTGACCAAAAATATGTAAGATGTTCCTTTAGTACCTCTCCCATTCTGCAAGTTCAGCTGGTCAATATTGCTAGTGTCAGTTCAACTGAATGTTTGGACAGGGAAATCGTGTCTGAAGGGACTAAGAAAGTAATCACTGCGGCATGACGTTTATAATTGAATAGCCAAACATTTTGAGTAGTAGAATAAAAGCCAGAAAAGATGACAAAAGGGAAATAGAGGAGGTAGACATCTCAATTGTAATTCTGTAGATCGGTATACAAGAAAACACACACTTACCATTAATCTGGATGAGTTAGCGTGATAGTACGTTTTGAAACTCTCTGAAAGTAGATGGCTGCCCAGCTTTTGTTTGCTGGAGAAGTGCCATGATACAGATGTATATATCTAGCATTGTCACCTCCATAAACAGTAAAACTTTAAAAGAAACAATTGTAATATTCAGCTATCTTCAATCATAATGATAGTCTCATCCATTGCTAGGTTTGTAACCTTCTTGAAAATTATGATACAACTAATATGGAGAAAATCAATTGGCATAGGAGGAGAAAATGTATACCCATAAAATTCATGTTAATAGGTTTACATTGAATTATTGGTTGAGACAAACCAACAAATTAGTATGGATGTTACAATCTGAATTCCAAGAATTATCAGATACAAATATGTGACTCCATTATCAAACTGAGTTAACATCTTTATCACCATGGATGAAAGAGCAATATAAGAAGGTACAAAGACATAGTAGTTGTAGGAAAGAGAAAGGATGGAGGGGAGAGGGCCGTGCGTGTCACATCCACCTCGCGTGGATCTGGCCGCTCGTCATGGAGCCTCGCTGGTGAGCAGCAGGAGATCAACGTGACACACCTCACCTCGAACCGACTCTTGCTCGATTGCACCATGAATCTCACCAGTGCATGGCCTGGCCACTGTGCGTCACGTAGCAGTTTGTAAAATTCAGAACCTGGTGATATGAGGAAAATAGAGAAACCATACACATCATGGCGATGCTGAACTTCAATAGCCATGCACAACGCAGCAAATCCTAAGTGCCCTTCTCCTTGCCGCCGCCAAACAATAGCTGGTGGTGAGGCGCTGTCGGCCGGCGTCACCTCTCCTACTGTGCCGCGGATCCGCGTCATAAAAGATGACAAATAGTCAAGTCGTTGGCAGATATGCAAATTAAAATTCCAATACATCTCTGTTAGTATGCAAAATGTTTAAAATTAAGGTTGTACCTTACAATGCACCACAACAACCAACGTTTTAGCATGCCATTTATTTACAAGCAAAACCACAACAGCTTAATCACCCAAGAGCAGGATTGTAACATACTTTCAGAAAAGCGAAGTCCAGATCATACACTCATGAATAAAGGCTTTGGTTTTCAAGTGCCACATTGATATCCCCCCTACTGCAAGCCCCCGCCTACAGCTCTACTGAACCAACAAGTTAGCATGTCTTTTATTTACAAAGTAATGCTTATCAACCTTGTAAGTGCATCTAGTACCACCCCTAGTTGGTTTTGGAGTATTGACGATAAACCTGGTTGGGGGACTAATGTGTTTGTGAGAATTACAGGATAACACAGGTAGTAGTCCCTCACTGATTCAGTTTCCCTACCAGATATGACCCTTAAAAATGTGTGAAGACATTGAAGCTAATGGTGGTCTGTGAAGCTAATCACATTGAAGACTATGACATGTGAAGACAATGTATGAAGACTATGGAGCGCGAAGACTTAGTTGTTTTGTTGTTTCTCTTCTTCTTTGTTGAGTCATAGGAACCACTACACTATTAAGTGGGGTCCAAGTGAACAAAGTCAGAGTGACTAAAGTGGTGCTCAACCAAATCCTATATCTTCGAGCGAAGACAATTAGAGAAAATCTTATCCAGAGTCGGATAAGTCAGCTTTACTTGTAGCCCAAGTCAAGCTGTCACGTGTGTTTGAAATCTGACCGTTGCGACACGTGTCAGTTCCTTAGTGACCTAGGGTCATTTCTGACAAATCAGGTCGGGTTGCCAGTGGTTATAAATAGCCCACCCCCTACACCATAAATTGGTGGGTGCTCAGAGTTAGATACGGCTTTTGTCGTTTGAGAGCAACCCACCTCCGAAGCCATTTGAGAGAGAATCCTTGCGAGGACAAAGCCCAAACCACCCAGACCCAAAGAGTGTTTGACATCACTTAAGTCCTTCTGTCCGCGTGATCTGAATACTTATTTCACTTGAGGACTGTGAATCCTCCAGCCGGTTAGGCGTCACGTTCTAAGCATCCAAGAGTCATTGTGGATTGCGAGTGAACGAAGTCTGTGAAGGTTTGGGAGTATACGTTGAAGACTTACGAGAGTGATTGGGCGGGGACTAGGTGTCCTTAGCTCAAGGGGAATAAGGTGAAGACGCGGTCTTCTGAGATAAATCTCAGCCTCCCTAACCAGACGTAAGTTGTCACAGCAACTGGAACTGATCAAACAAACCACTGTCTCCCTAAAGCTACTGGTTCTATTTCTCACTTCTCTTTACTTATAGTTTCTCTTCGTGAAGTCATTGTCTACTTGCATAATCTATTTGACTTCACTGTTTGACTTCACTGTTTGACTACTTGTCCTGATTGGCTTCATACTATCGTCCACCCTGATCCTTACTACCTAGCTGCTAATAGTCTTCGAGCTCTCACTTCATTGAATACTTGACTATGGCTTATCTAGTGTAGTCTACCTTCCGCTGCATACGAGTAGTGTTGTTTCTACTGTTTGTCTTCGAAACTCCCATGTTTTGAAGACTTTCATAAAAATCGCCTATTCACCCCCTCTAGTCGATAACTAGCCCTTTCAATTGGTATCAGAGCAAGGTACTCCCTTGTTCTTTAAGATTCGGTTTAACCACCTGGAGTTTTAGTTATGTCGACTGCAGGGATAATCAAAGTCTCCACTGTGTGTCCCATCTTTGATGGCACTGAGTATCCCTACTGGACGAATAGGATGCGCATGCATCTTGAAGCCATTGATGTCGATCTGTGGTATGTCGTCAAGAATGGCGTTGCCAAGACTGGTGAAGGTGTCACCCCTGCTGATGTCAAGAAGTTCATTCAACTGGATTCTATAGCCAAGAGCATCATCTATGGTCATCTGATCAAAGGGCAGTATGGCCGTATTAGCGCTCTGGAAACGTCAAGCTAGTCTAGGACTGGCTCTCCAAGGTTAATGAAGGCGTCTTAACTCAGCGTGATCAACGAATCAGTACTCTCCTCAACCTCTTCAAAAGACACGGCAACGAGAACGTCCAGCTCACGTTTGATCGCCTCACTAATATCACAAATGAGCTCTGTGCACTCCGTGCAACTGACATTACGAAGCATGAAATAGTGAAGACACTGCTGAGATCTCTTGACAGCTCATTTGACACCCTAGCCCTGAGATACAAGAACACCCTGATTTCAAGACACTTGATCCGTCTGACATACTTGAGAGGCTCAACACACATGAGTACCAGCTATCTGAGAAACGAGATATCTATGGCCCCAACTATGGCCCAACTCACGCTTTGAAGGCAAAGGCTGCTGCTTCCTCATCCAGAGAAGAATCTGACTGCAGCTCCGGTGATCCTGAAGATATTGGAAAGGTGCTTGCTATGCTTGTGAAGAAGTTCCAGATATTCACTAGGAAGAAAAGCTTCAAAAAGTCTTCATGATCCAGCTCAAGGGATGATGAAGCTCCCACCTATGACAAGAAGAAAAGAACCTGTCACAAGTGCAAGAAACCTGGCCACTACATCTCTGAATGTCCACAGTGGGACAATGAGAAGAAGAAGAAGAAGAAGAAGAACAAAGAATATGATTCTGATGACAACAAGAAGAAGAGATCCTCAAAGTCTTCTTCCAAATCTTCCTCCAAGTCTTCATCACACAAGAAGAGCTCATCAGGCAAGGCACGTGCTTTTGTTGGCAAGGAAATGGATTCAGAGGAGGAGTCTGCTTCGGAGGAGGTGGTGGAGACGGAGGAGAGTCCGACTCTGGTGTCGCAAGTCTGGCTCTAGCTACTGCTTACGTCGCCAACTCCATCTTCAACACTGAAGACAATGACTCCGTCACCAACGCCGATGATGAGAACGACTCGACTCCCACCTATTGCTTCATGGCACGTGGTACCAAGGTAAACTCTCGCGATGCTTACTTTCAAACATCAAGTGAATATGACTCTGATGGTGAATCCAAACCTAGCTACAAAAAACTTGCTAAAATTGCAACTGAACAACACAAAGCTATGGAACATATTCAAAAACTGTTAGACAAAAGTGATGACCTGTTGGACGAGGAAATGACTAAGACTTAGTCCTTAATTGAAGACATAAAAAATCTTCATGTTAAGTACCAGGAAATTGAAGGTCGTCATGAAACGCTCTCAACATCTCATGAAAAGCTCTCCTATGATTATCTTCAAAGGAAGCTGGAACTTGAGAAACTGAGATTGGATCATGAAGATCTTCAAAAAGAGAATGAGTCACTTCGCGCTCAACAGATAAGTCCCGCTCAGGAAGGATTTGAACAACCATGTCTAAAATGCATTCAGCGTGATAACGCTGCCTCTGTTGCTGGATGTTCTACTGCTACTCCTGTTGCAATATCTTCAACTGCTGATGTGGTAACTAACCCCTCTATTGAGGATACCAATACTATTACTGATGAGAATTCCAGGTTGAAGACACTGCTTGAGACAGGGGTGTACAAAAGCCTCAAATGGCATCAAACATTATGTGATGTCCTCAAAAAGTAGATTCTGAACCGAAACCCTAGAAAAGAGGGTGTTGGGTTCAAAAGAAAAATGAATGTTGATGGGTCATATTGGAAGCCTGAGCAGTACCCCAAAACCACCTAGGTTGCTGCAAAGGAACCTCAAGTAGATCCATCCACCTTATCTGTCTTCACTTGTGCTAACACAACACTACTAGGAAAAGGGCTATAGATGGAATGGCCACTAATGGCGCACCAGACATGTGGTGCGCCACTACTATATAGCAGTGGCGCACCATGTGCCGGTGCGCCATTAGTGTGAAATACACTAATGGCGCACCAGACACATGGTGCGCCACTAGTAACGATTTTTTTCCAAACATACTAATGGCGCATCCTGGCAAAGTGCGCCATTACTAGTGCTAACTAGTAATGGTGCACCAGCCACCCAGTGCGCCACTACTGTTGTTTTTTTATTCTTTTTTTTGCAAAACTACTAATGGCGCACCATGGCATAGTGCGCCATTACTAGTTTAAACTAGTAATGGCACACTATGCCATGGTGCGCC